ATTTATAGTTGAAAGTAGGTAGTGAAATAAGCTAAAAATCATAGTATTATATTAATTTAAGAACTCAGAATCAATCAATTAGAGAATTAAGGAAGTATTCCCTTAAGTTAAGGGAATCAAGATCAAACAGAAAGATTCAGTACCATATAAGGCAAGAAGAAAAAATCAGTGCATGATTAAATAAGGAAGGAGTCAAGGTTTAGTATGCATAGAGTAGTCAATTAGGACCAAATTCAGAAAAACCCAATTAAGGAAAGGCCCAGTAAAAACAACGTACTAAAGCAAATAAGGTAATGAAAATAGTTAATTTAAACAGACGAGTAGAATTCTAGGGCTTTGAAAGAAAATCTTTCAATTACCAACAATTAAGGAAAATCAGAATCAATCATGGGAAGTCATGGTTTTGTATTTTCAACATATAAATAGAGGTGAATGAACAAGAGTAGTAAACAGAGTCAGCCGTATAGACAGAAAGAAACAAGAGATGAGCAAACACAATCATTCAGAGGTGGTATAAGTAGGCTAAGATTCAGCAGAACATATTCGAAGCATGGTGACTACGAGACATTAACAAGAATCAGGTAAACAGGCTAGCACACAGAACCAAGGCAAAGGAAACATGCTGACACATAGAACCAAAGTAAAGAAATCATGCTAACACACATAACCAGAGCGAAGAAAATCTTTAGAAATTAGGGCTTTTAGCAAAGTCAAGTTAAAAAGCAGTAAGAGCATGAAATCGGTCAAAATAAACAAGGAAAAAGGTTTTAATCATAAAAAAATCGGTTAAAACATGCGTAAAAGAACTCCGAGAAACCTTAGTTTTTCAAAGAAAGTAAAAACGGTTCAGAGTAGACGATCTTTCAAAATAAGCTCGAGAATAAGCAGATCATAGAAGGCAAGGCGATGAGAGACCCATTGGAGGCTTGGGGTTGAAAGGAGGTAGCCGGAGATGGCCGGAGAAGGAGGCGATTGACGGAGTCTAGGGTTAGGTTTGAGAGAGGAGAGAGGATGAGAGCATCTGAAGCGGCGCCTTTGGAAAAATGGCTTAGGGTTGGGGGGTCGTATGAATTAAAATGGTAAGAACAAATTTTGGCTGTTGATCTTTTAGATCAACGGTCCTGATCTGATGGGTTTTTTGGGTCGGGTAGGCGTGTATAGGGTCTGGGTCGGGTGATTGGGTTATAAGAAAAAAAATTGGGCTGGGAATTGGTCCATTTTGGCCACAATTGAAAGCCAAATTTGGCTATAACTTGAATAGCCAATTTTCCCCTATTTAATTTATAAAAGAATAAATTACTTTCTGGGAATAAATTCAAAGTACCAAAATGATTTATAACACATAATCAACTATTTAAAAATACCAGACCTAATTTTATGAATATAAACGTAAGTAATCCTAAAAGAGGCTAATATTGTAATTACATACAATTTAACTTTGAAAAATACTGAATGACTTTGTAAAAATATGCAAAAATTATATTAGCCACATTTATAAATATGAAAATCCAATAAATGAATCACCAAAAAATGATAATTTTGGGAATAATTATTGGTATTTTATAGATAAAATAGAGCAATAAATTGATTTAAAAATCTTTAAAAATTAAGGAAAAATAGTAAAACATTTGGACTTACTTATATATGCATGCACATGCTATTTTGAAAGTATTTTGCATATTAAAAATATATAGGGAAAAATTGGGTATCAACAGTTGAGGAACTCTCGAAGATGCCCTTCGTTGATCAGTCGGGCTACCTCTTCTCGAAGCTTTATGCAATCCTCGGTCCTATGATCGTGAGTGCCGTGATATTTGCATACCAAGTTAGGATTCCTCTGTGAAGGGTCTGACAGTATGGGTTTTGGCCACCTGGTATCTTTGATTTTACCTATGGCTGATACGATGCCCGAGACATCGACGTTGAAATTGTACTCGGATAGCCGAGGTATCTCTACCGGCCTGGCGTACCTATCGAACTCGGCTTTACTCATGAGTCCTCGGGAAATTTGACCTCGATATGTCCTTCGACCGCCTCGAGGTACATTACGCTTCGGGTGTTTCTTCGATCTTCTACATACGGCTGGTATCTTTCCTTGTTTGTTCCTTTATTAAAAACCTGCTAGGATATACTAAACCCGAAGGGGCTCCTAATTGATCGTCTTCAACCCTAATCTTCGATTGATACCTGTTGTGCACCTCCGCCCAGGTCACGGAGGGATACTCTATCAAATTTTGTTTTAGCTGTTTCGAAGCTACCGAGTTTTGTTCATTTAAGCCCTGAGTGAAGGCCTGCACATCCCAGTCATTGGAGACTGGTGGTAATTCCATTCGCTCCATCTGAAAGCGATATACAAATTCCCTTAGCATCTCGTTTTCTCTCTGCTTGATTTTGAAGACATCGTACTTCCTGGTGGCGACCTTGATGGCACCAGCGTGTGCCCTTACAAAAGAGTCTGCCAACATGGCAAATAAATCTATCGAATTCGGGGGTAGGTTGTGATACCACATCATGGCCCCCTTCGATAGTGTCTCTGCAAATTTCTTCAGCAAGACGGATTCAATCTCGTCATCCTTTAAGTCATTCCCTTTTACATCACAAGTATAAGCGGTAATGTGCTCATTAGGGTCCGTGGTCCCGTTATACTTCGGAACATCGGGCATTCTGAATTTCTTCGGGATGGGCTACGAAGCCGCACTTGATGGGAATGATTTCTGCATGAACTTCTTTGAATCTATACCCTTCAGAATCGGGGATGCGCCCGGGATCTGATCGACCCTCGAGTTATAAGTCTTCACCTTTTTATCGTTAGCCTCTATCTTCTTTTCTCCTGATTCAATCCTTTTGGTGAGGTCTTCGAGCATCTTCATAAATAGCGGGGTCTGCTGCTGACCCGTTGTTACTCGATCATTCTGGTGCCTTCTCGACTCGAGGATCCGTTTCCGGTGCTGCTGTGCTTGGAGTTTTTTGTTGACTTTGTAGCTGAGCAATAGCCACTTGTTGTGCTTGTAACATCTCAAAAATGACTTGAAGGCTAACTTCTCTTTCCTCCTGAGCTGGAGTCCCCTGTGCTTCGTATTGGTTTTCTCCGCGCACACTTCCGTTGGTATGTGAGCTCACATCGATATGCACAGCATTGCGTGAGCCCACGTCAACGGGGATTTGTGCTAGTGCTACCCTTGGGTTTTGCGATCGTACACCGGCATCTGCACCGTTCTCACCATAAAGCCCAATACCGTTTTTTTCGTGTGCATTCGCTAAGTTAGACATTTTAACACGAAATCAGAGATTCTTGGACAAGAAAAAGTTTGAAGAATAACTTGTGTTTTCAGAAAACTAGCACCAAAACAATCACTATTATTTTTAGCCCCACGGTGGGCACCAAACTGTTTACCTTGAAAATGGTATTTACAATTATATTTGATTTGTGGTTCTAAAAATATGTGATTTATTTTAATACTAGCTGTTAGGCAATAGATGCTGGGTGTAATTGAAGAGAATAAGAAACGCAAATCAAAGCTATCGCGAAACTGAGCCTCGAGCTGGCCGGAACAGGGGCTTCGAGGTAGTCAGGGCAGTTAGCGATGAACAGTTAATGAAGAAACAATGATAATGAAAGCCTCAAAGATAGCCTCTTGCGATTAATAATGGACAATAACTGAAGAACAATAAGTGAACAATGAATGAATAATGAAAGAATAAGCAATAAATATGTAGAACAATTGTTTAAGCAAAGAGAGCAGAGAATGTTGTCTTGTATTCAACATATCGCGTCCTTTACAAAATGACAAGGGTCCCCTTATATAGGAGGGGTGAATCCCAACATAATACATGTTTAATAATGACAAGGAAATGTTATTGGTACAGTTGTATAACGGCTCAGTACGGAGTTGCACCATTCTTGCAGACTTGGTCAGCTCCAACCACGTGTCCTTGAGGGTTTTCCCGCCTTTCCATGGAGATCATCGATTAGTGCTGCTCCGAGATTGACCTTCGATATGCTCCCTCGAGGGATGCACCTCGGGGTCCGCCTTCAAATTCCGCTTCGAGCTTCTCGAGGTCGGGCGTGGAGTGCCACAGTAGCCCCAAAGTCGAACTCTCTGATTTTGGCCGTATACAGATAGTCCCCGCGTTTCTTAAAATGAAATAACGAGAAACGATCTGGACCTCGATTTTCTCGAACCTCTCGTGATGACGTCACGTTCGTGATGTAGGCGCTCGAAACGCTCGAAACGTCCCGTCGGTTCATTTCCCCAGAAGCATTGAATGCACCGCCGGTTCATTTCCCCAAAAACATTGAATGCACCGTCAGTTTCGTCGTTGTTTCTCTATAAATAAGGGATTTCTTGAACCAAAACTTCAGTCATTCTTTCTTCAACAATCATTAGCCCCTTTCCTTCCCTGTATCCTCTTCTGATCTCTTATTCTTATGGTTCAAACCTGCGACCACAAGGTCATAAGGCAGCAACCTTACCAGTTATGCCATGGCTCTTTTTCAAAGCCTTTTCCCTCTAAGGGGAATTATATTGGGTCGTCGTTGTTGTTGTTGTTGGCTCTAATCAATGAGAGGAGGGCATCAAATTCTTCGCGTATCAGAAGATATGTGAACTTTGAACCGCTGCTCATCTCTCTTAACTTCAACCTGGTGTGGCGTTTCATTACTTTTGCTTTCCTGTATAACCAAGACTGCCAAAGACAAATAGATAATAATAACAGGTACAAGAATATTGCGATGATAGTAACTGCTCTTCATAATACACTAAACTGTAAATGTTCATTTAATACTCTTACCGCCAGGAATTTGCATGTAACTCAAGTAAGTAACTCGCAAGTAGCTCATACATGATACATATAATTTTTTGCAAGTCGCTTTCTAAAATTACTTGCAATCAAACAATTAGTAGTTCTTAATTAAGTAGTTTGCAACCAGCTCTTCAAGACTTGCAAACACCTTTCAATTCATCTTATACATCAGTTTTAAGTGAAATAATATATGACTTTTTTTCATGAAAATTATTTTTTAAAAGATATTTCTTTGTCAGCGATGGCAACTTTACATGTAACTCTGTACATGGGCGTTTTCCAAATTTAGCAAATACGCAGTTTACTGTATAAAATAGGAGTATTACAAAAGTATGCTCTCATCCACCATATGATATTACTATTATATTAATTTTATCCTTGTTTGATATTTCTATTCCATTTTGATTAGACTTTATTCCCAGTTCCCAAATCAAAACTCCCAATGTTCTCTATATACATCGCCTTTCTTTCAATTTTCATTGGTTTTCTCCTATACTTCATCCAACTCCGATGGAAGGCGGCGCCGGAAAATGTTCGCCGGAAACTTCCACCGGGACCACGAGGTCTTCCGATAATCGGCAATCTCCACATGCTAGGTACCCTCCCTCATCGTACCCTATACGATCTATCCAAAAAATACGGTCCAATAATGTTCTTAAAGCTCGGAAACGTTCCAACGGTTGTGGTTTCGTCCCCTGAAACCGCCGAGCTAATACTCAAGACACACGACGCCGTTTTCGCCAGCCGCCCAAAGCTTAAGGCGGTGGAGTACGTAAGCGACGGTGCTAAGGGTTTGGCTTTTGCTCCGTACGGTCCACAGTGGCGTAACGCTCGGAAATTCTGCATACAAGAGCTGCTCACGGCGGAGAAAATTGAGTCTTTTGCTGGGATGAGGAAAGAGGAAATTGGGGTTTTGGTGCGGCGGCTGAAGGTGGCGGCTGATGGCGGCGAAGTGGTGGAACTTGGAGAGAAGATTGGGGATTTGATTGCGAATATGACGTATAGAATGTTATTTGGGGATATTGGGAATAGCGATAGATTTGATTTGAAGAGCATTGTACAGGAAATGGTGCGATTGGCTGGAGCATTTAATATTGCTGATTATGTGCCTTTTCTTGAGCCATTTGATATTCAGGTATCCTTTCTTTTCTACGGGCTTGATCCTTTTCTTAAAATTATTTAGAAAAATAGAATCAATTCTAGCTTATTCTTAGCCTAATATAAAAATTATGTTTCAAAATAATAAATTAATTGCACAAATCACGGGATCCATTTTTATTCTTATCACCATATTTATCTATCCTCAACGTAATTTTTTATCTCTCTTCTTTCAACCCTAAGCCACAACTCCATTAATCTCTCCAACCCTTGCCTGCTGTGTCACTACCAATCAGAAACCAGTATGATTTTTCTGGTAGCATATGGAAACACTTTGTGCTATTAATGTGGATTAGTAAATCTTGCTCGCCTTATTTATTCTTCGTTAATACATGTTTGAACACATGGAAAGCTATTTTAAAAATTAGTGGCCATTGAAGTTGATTTTTATGTTTCTTTTTTTTTTTTTTTCCTTTTATTCTTCATTTACTTCCTTTTTGTTTCTTCTCTTAGAAAAAAGATGTGTCGAATGGTGTTTTTTGAAGATTGATTGGTACGGTTGTTGAAGGTTGTGTATGATGGAGTTGTGGTGGCAGTGGTTTAGCCTTGAGGTTATATATGTATATATACTGAATATATAAAATAATTCAACAAATATACAGTAAGTTGTCTTATTAAATTTAATATATCCTGAATATACATCGTATATGTTCATCAATTAAACAAATATATGTTAAAACAATTATAGACTATGTATAGCCAAATAATATAAATACTATAACAGTAATATTATATTATATACTTCAATAAATACTATAACAATACTATTATTTTATATACTGAATATAAAATAATTCAATAAAGATACAGTAAGTTGACTTATTAAATTTAATGTATCCTGAATATACATCGTATATGTACATGCATTAAAAAAATAAATGTATAAAGAATTATATACTACGTATTGCTAAATAATATAAATACTATACCAACAATATTATATTATATACTTCATAATTTTTTTTTCTCAAAGAATTATATAATTTGTGTATACCATTAAAATATGTTGTATATGATTGTAATCCACAAGTATAATATAATATAATATGTACGTACCATTAAGACATACTATGAATATATACTAGTAATATATTCATATATACCATTATTATTCATCATGTATTTAATAATTATACAACACCATGAATTATTAAATTTAATATACTATATGTATAAAACTTAGAGGTAAAATCAGTTACGTGAAGGAGGAATTAAGTAAAGAATAAGTTGAAGACAAAAGTTGGATTGAATAGGCGCCAAAGGAAAGGATTTAGGGTGAAGAAATTTTTTAATTGTAGAGATATTTTAGTATTTGGCACAATAACCGTACAAGTCATTAAACGGGGGAGAGAAAATTGTGGGGAAGACTTCAAAAGTTATGTGAATTATTATTAATTACTAGTCCCTATTTTTAATGGGATTGGTCCAACATTACCGGTTCCTGCTATAAATGTATTTAATTAGCTGCCGTATTTGTTAATTGCTATCTGCTACTAAAATTCAGTAAAATTTTCTTAAATATTGTCTAAATATGTTTTTTCCAGATAAGAATCTAGTACTAATACTATTATTGGGCTTAATTCTGTTGTCTCTGTTTTTGATCTTTGAGCAATTTATGTAAAATACCTATTGAGCTTAAATTAATTACCCTTTTTTATCCATTTGAAAATTGGTTACAATATATATCTATTCAATTAAAACTAATTACCCAATCTACCTACCCATCTCACTTTTCTTACCCATTTGGTATAACTTAGCTTGATTTTGCTTGGATTGATTTGACTTGATTTGGATTGAATTGGCTTGGGTTGACTTGATTTGGTTTGACTTGGCTTGGCTTGATTTGAATTGGTTTTAGTAGCTTAGTTTGACTTTATTTGGTTGGAAGGGCTAGGTATTAAAAAAAAATGGGTAGGAAAAAAACTTTATAGGTAAGAACACGCGAATAGTTTGTGGCAGGTGAGTATTTGCAAAAAATCCCCGTGATTTTTACCGTTAATAGGACAAAATTTAGAAGTATGATTTCTTGATATGGCTGAAAATATTTAGAAAATTTATCAAAAGTGTAAAAGTTCAAAAAGTAAATGTACAAAGTCGATTAACTATGAGCATAACAATAAATTTTTATAATAACATTTATGTTATGAATTAATTTTATCCATGGTCATTCAACTTTTGTTTTTGTTACCCAAAATTACTTTTTTTTTGTTACGTAAAAATCATTCAACTTCGTGTTCATTACACAAAATTTATTTTTCTTTCTTTTGTTACACAAAAATCATTTTACTTTGCTCTAGTTATCACAAAAGTCACATTTTTACTTGAAAAGTCTATTGTGTCATTGATATTATATAAACCTTCATATTTATGTAATACCTTCTATATTATATACTATATAATATATTTTTAACTATGTATTTTATTTATAAATAAAATAATTTAATATTATTTTATTTATTATTTTTATATATATTCGTATATTTAATTTTTTCTTGTCGTTAATTTTCAAAATATATTAGTAGCGTTATTAAATTTGTCAGTAACTTTAATATATATTAGTAGAAAAATAAATCGGCAAGTACATTTCCGTGAGAAAATTCGCAGGTAAATAAACAAAGAAAATGAGGAACAAATCATACGTTAATCTGAAGGAAAATCCCTAGGTAATACATGCGAATTTAGCTGGGGACATTTTCTTGGGGATTTACCTAGGCAATTGATTATTTGGGAAATTACAATACTAGAAATTCGGGAAAAATCATCCAAAATAATCGACCAAAGTTGGTCTGTAATGGCCAATAACCATCCAAAACGCGACAACGTGTGATCGATATTTTGAAGGTCGGAAGGGCATACCGACCAAAGTTGGTCAAAAATTACCGACCAACTTTGGTCGGTCAATTAAATTCAAAAAGAAAGAATTGCTGAAAAAAAAGTTGTTTTTTAACGCTACTAATATATCTTGAAAATTAAAGTTAAGAAAAATTAAATATACGAATACATTATAAGAATAATAAATAAAATATATAGTTAAAAATATATTATATAGTGTATAATATAGAAGGTATTAAATAAATATGAAGGTTTATATAATATCAAGGGCATAATAGACTTTTCAAGTAAAAATGACTTTTGTGATAACTAGAGCAAAGTAAAATAATTTTTGTGTAACAAAAGAAAGAAAAGTGACTTTTGTGTAATGAACACAAAGTTGAATAATTTTTACGTAACAAAAAAAAAGGTGACTTTTGGGTAACAAACACAAAAGTTCAATGACCATGGATAAAATTATCTCTTTATGTTATCAAAGTTTTGAAGTAGTGAAAATTACAGAAGCTATAATATATTTTAAAAGAAAATTTAAAAACCTGAGACCCAAAAGAATGGAATGCATTTTTTACTTTTTTAGGGTGTAAGGAGTGGGCCTGGTAAAGTTGCTGTCACGCGGGCTTGAGTGGAAAAAGCCTCTTGCAGAAATGCAAGGTAAGACTGCGTACAATTAGAGCTGTCAATATGGGCGAAGCCGGCCTAGCCCGGCCCAACCCACGTGGGCTTTAGCAATTGACGGGCTGGGCTGGGCTAGCCCACTATTTTGATGGGCCTTATAATGGTCAGCCCACCCCAGCCTTATGTGGGCTGCGGGCCCCCACGGGCCGGCCCATTATTTTTTAAATAGAATTTATATTTTTTTCTTTAAGTTTTAACCTAAAAAAAGATAAATATTTATAAGTTAAAAAAATCTTATTAGAAATTTTTTACAAAACTTAATTACTTTTTATACTGTTCCAATATATTACAATAAACACTAAAAAAGTAAAAGACAAGACTATATTTAATTCACTAAAAGTCAAAACTCAAAACAAACTATTCAAGAAAACGTCCATGACGCTTATGTGATATTCAACACATCATCTTCATCAAACACATTTGAATCCGCTTGTGAGAAGGTTGTCTTAACATCTTCGGTTTCATCTAAATTTACGGTTCGTATGCAATATTAATTAGTTAAATATTAAGAATAATTAAATTTTTTAAACTAATTAACGTTTTAAGAAATTGATCTTTTAATATGATGAGCTTAATAAACTTTAAGCTTAGGATACTCTTCTTGTTATTTTTTGTGTCAAATACTTTTTATATTTTATATACTTTAAATTAGGGGTGGGCATAAAATCCGAAAAACCGAATTCCGAACCGGACCGAATTATTTTCGGTATTTTGGTTTCGGTTTTTTCGTGTATTTCGGTCTAATTCGGTACTAAATTTTCGGTATTTCGGTATTTCGGTTCGGTACTCGGTTTCAGAAATCTGAAATTTCGGTATTTCGATTATATCGAAATACCGAATTTTAAATAGGTCAGTCCACAGTCCACTACCCTACCCATCCCAGCCCAAGCCCACCCACCCACCCTTCTTTATTTTATTTCTAGCCCAGCCCAGCCCCAAGCCCACCCATCTTCTTTAAGTCTGACTTAGAGTTAGAAGAAACAAATTAACAAACCACGTTTTTTATTGTTTCAATTTCAAAGTTAAGTAAGTATGTACAAACATTGTTGACTGTTTTTTATTGTTTCTGACTTATAGATTTTAGATGCTATAAATCTATAGCATCTGGTGTTTAGTATGTATTGTTTCTGACTTTCTGTGTGGCGTTAGATTTGTATTTGTGTATGGATAGAAAATTATGCATGTGCTGCAACTTCAAACGTTGCTGGTTTCAATTTCAAACGTTGCTGGCTTGCTGCAACAATTATGCATCTGGACAGTGCACTGTTAGGACTTAGGCGTTAGCTAAATTTTAGCGATTATTAAACCGAAACCGTACCGAAACCGTACCGAACCAAAATAAGAAAAACCGAACCGTACCGAAATATTTTGGTATGGTATTTGGTATACACAATTGATAAACCGAATACCGAATTACCGAACCGAAATTATTAAATACCGAACCGAAGTACCGAATGCCCACCCCTACTTTAAATACGTATTTTTATTAGGCCCACGAGCCGGCCCAGCCCAGCCTCAATTAAGCCTCACGGGCCATGGACTTACTCGGGCCGGGCTTAAAAGCCTCATTTTTAAATGGGCTCCAAAAATTCTAGTCCAGCCCTGCTAAATCACGGTCTGGGATGTGCTGGCCCAACGGGCCAAGCCCATATTGACGGCTCTACGTACAATAGACCAATACTTTCTTGGACCCCGCACATAGCGGGAGCTTAGTATACCGAACTGCCCTTTTAAGGTGTAGGGGGCGCGATTAGTCTTAAGGCATAAAGGGTTCGTAGGTCGGGATGAATGTCTCAGCATATTCTTTTTCTTTCTTTTTTGCGTCAGAGTGGATTTAAGTAGTAGTCAACGTAACATGATATTTACATTTCTGCCAATGCTATGCGGTATTAAATTTGCTATTCAACATTTACTTGCACGCAATTTATGCTTTTGATAATTCAACAAATTACTGTGAAGTTTGTGCTTTTCCTATCGACATAATGATTAGATATAGTTGTGAAGTACTACTGTATGATTATATGGCATTTTTAGAAAAATATCGTCATGCTTCAACTACTGATGTGTAATTAATACTCAACATGCAATGAATAAGATTTACCTTTTGATATCCAAGAGATGAGTTGGTGGATTCTATTTTGGACTAAAAATTGTTCGTGATATATGATTTCTCAAACAATGAATGTTCAGGGCTTGAATAAGCAATTGAAGGAAACTGGAAAGGCTGTTCAGAAAGTATTTGATACCATAATCAATGAGCATGAACAAGATGCAAGGAATGGCACTCACAAAGGTAGCAAGGTTCTTGTTGATGTCATGTTATCACATCAAAATTGTCCGAAATCCTACTCGATTGATCGTGCAACCATGAAAGCCATCCTTTCTGATATGATCGTTGGAGCTATTGATACTTCACACACTTGGATTGAATGGGCTTTTGCAGAAATTGTTAAGCATTCAAGAGTAATGAACAAACTCCAGGAAGAGTTGATATCTGTAGTAGGACTGGACAGAATGGTTGAGGAACAAGATTTGCCAAAGTTGGAATACTTAGAACTGGTGCTCAAGGAAACCTTCCGACTACATCCTGTGGCGACTCTTTTAGTTCCTCGAGAATCAATGGAAGACGTTGTCATAAACGGGTATTATATACCTAGAAGATCACGGGTTATGATAAATTGTTGGGCGTTAGGGCATGATCCTAAGATATGGTCGGACAATGTTGAGGAATTTGTTCCTGAGAGAGGTTTATTGGCAAGGACTGATGTTCGTGGACATGATTTTATTTTGTTGCCATTTGGATATGGAAGAAGAAGTTGTCCAGGTATGAATCTGGGGTTGATCACTGTGAAATTGATAGTTGCACAATTAGTGCATTGCTTCAGTTGGGATTTGCCTGAAGGCATGTTACATGGTGATTTGGACATGACTGAAAAGTTTGGTTTGGCTGCTCCAAGAGCTCAAAATTTGCTTGTTATTCCCACTTACCGTCTACACTCTTAACCAGCTTAAGAGGAGATTAACTTGAGCTTATTACTACAGGGTTAATTAAATTGGAATAACTATGCATCCTCTAGGTTCGAAAATCTTAGATTATAATGTAATGATAATTAGTAGATTTACAATAAGCGAGAGGACTTTGTTTTGTGCTGCATTAAGCATAAATTGTACATGTTGATCATAAGGAATTAAGAAATATGATCCCTGTGGAAATAATAGCCACTGGAAACAGCGTAGTTCCAATTATTAATGTCAAGTTTTCGACAGCTCAGATACATGATTTGATTATGTTAGAAGTGTGGTGCAAAGACGCAAAAATCTCTGAGAGGAATGGTTCTACATTCTAAGAAAAGTAGCATATTGGCTTCTGAATAAATTATTTATATATATTAAGTGAATTTTGACATAATACATAATTGGGATCACAGCTACGAGGCTCAGCGGAACGCATGTCATATTGTAGCTCCTCCACTGTCCGTGTGTTGCTGTGATTCTTCAAGTACTATAAGGATTTGAGTCTTGTTGCACAGTGCTCCTTTGTTTATTACTCCATCTGTTTCATTTTTTGTGCTTATTGGTCTGTTTTAAAAAGAATGATCTATTTTTATATTTGGAAATACTTTAATTTAATCTTCTCATGTCACTCTTAATAAGAAGCTTTTATAGCCACACAAATGTTATGGCATATTTATGATCACATGTTTCAAAAGTTTTATATTCACTCAATTGTTATGACATATATATGACCACAAGTTTCAATTTCTTTTTTTAACTGATTCAAATTATGTCACATTATTTGCCTTGGCGGTGGACGTTTTGACGCGTCACATTCAAGGGGAGGTATCGTGGTACATGTTATTAGTTGATGACATAGTACTGATTGACAAAATGCGAAGTGGTTTTAATGCGAGACTGGAGGTTTGGAGACAAGCCCTGGATGTGGGAGTGGCTCTATGGAGGACAAGATACGAGAAGTGAGGTTAAGATGGTTCGGCAGTGAAGCGGAGGGATACAACTGCCCCTAGCGAGAGGATGTGAGAGGTTAGCCTTGGAGGATAGGTTGAGAGGGAGTGGTAGATCGAAGAGTTATTGGGGGAGGTAATTACGCAGGACATGACACATCTTCAACTTACCGAGGATATGACCCTTGATACAAGGATGTGGAGGTCGAGGATTAGGGTAGAATGATAGTTGGTAGTGGACCTTATCTCTTTCCCATACTTGTAGTATTTAACATTGCTCTGTATTTTCTTATCCTTCATTCTCTTTTACTACCTGGTGTTTCGGTTTCTCATTTTTATTCCCACTCTTGTTTCTTTCGCTTTGGTTGATCTACTATCGTGTTATTATTTACTGCTTGTTGCTATTACTATTGCTTCTTTCTCATTTTTCTTAAGCCGATAGTTTATGGGAAACAACTTCTTTACCCTCACAAGGTAGGGGTAAGATTAGCGTGCACTCTACCCTCCCCAGACCCTACTTATGAATTACACCTATTTATTATTATTATTATTATTGTTGATCAAATTATGTCACATAAATTAAGAGTACAAGTTTTTTCCTGTTTTCTCCTTAGAGTCAAAACCTCATTTGCTAGTCTATTTTATGGACTACGGTCTAAAATATAGCATTGGAAAATTTGATAGAAATGACACCAGGTAGCCATTCTAAAGGACTGCTATTTAAAAATTAATCAGTGCGTCCTTAATTTTAGTTTTTCAGTTCAAATTTTCAGGACAAAAATGTCCTGAATTGTCCCGAAGTTAAGATTTTTAGTTTAAAATTTCAGGACACAATAAGTATTAGCTAATTTCTAAATAGCATCCCTGGGAATCACTATCTGTGCACTTGCCCAGAAAATTTGCCACTTAGACTCTCTACCGTTTAACCCACTAATGATCTAATGACAGTGTCCACAATTGATCCCAATGTATGGCCTATTTTTCAGTTTCATCTATAATGTATAGAATACTGTATAGGGTAAAATACGATATGACACGTGGTCATCTAGAGGAAGGACACGTGGAATCCAAGACGGAGATGGCCACCGAACGCAGCTATTCTATTTATCATCGGAAGGAATAACGATCATAAAGGTGTATTAAATGCTCTGTGCCCGGCAGTATTTAATAAGGAATATTCTGCAACATTAAGGGCAATGACCCGTTACAGGGAATTTGGCATTTATGTCCATCGTTACATCTTCATCAATGGCCCTCATAATTGACATTAAAGGAGGGCACGATCCTAAGACCTCCTTCCCTAGACACAGCTATAAATAGAGAGCTCAGTTATCTTCGTAACGGACACGAATTTTCTGGCTAACTTACATTACATTCTATACATAACTTACATACAATTTTACTTTCTCGCTTTTTGATCTCATCATTACTTTGCCCGGAAACCTTGTTCCCGGATTCGTCAACTCTGCTATTTCATCTACATTTTAAGGCTAAGTATTATATATTTCTTCAGTTATTGATTTATTTCTGGATCAAATTAGTTCACTTGTCTAGAAACAACGAACAAATTAAACTGTACCATTTTGCGGGTAAACAGTTTGGCGCCCACGGTGGGGCCTAGACAGCCGTGCAATTAAATTGATCCTTGCCTTTTTTACTAATGTACTTTGATTGTTTTGTCTTAGAGAAGATCACAAAAAATGGCAGATAACACTATTAACAACACGTACAATCCTGAAATCCGAGGGGATCAACCTCATTTCGAGGATTCAGTTAGCGACACCGACAACGAGGGGAATGACGCCATGCCGGTGCATGACAAGCAATATCCTCAACATGTTCGGGAGACAAATCCCGATGATGCTAATGAGGAGCATGTTGTGGATGCAGTAAGGATCTTGCAAGAACAACAAGCGATCATTCTAGGCCATCTCACACGGCATGATAAGGTTATGACGGAGCTGATGCAGGCGCTGTCGGGGGCTTCGAATAATGCAAACATGAGAGATCCAATTCCTCTCGGTGTCCCCGCAAACCAAACAACTAGAGAGTCGACAACAACACTCCCAGGGGTGAAGTCGGCTCCAACAGGGCTGGGAGAAGCGGATCCGGTCTCTACAACGAGAACGACCCGTTCAAGAATGAACTTTTACGATTTATGAGGGAAGTAAACGCCCACATGGACCAAATCCCAGGCGCGCCACCAGTGCCAAAGTATGATGGGACTTCCTACCCACAGGAGCATATTAGCACCTACACAACAGCGGTAAAAGGAAAGGATCTAGCGCCTCACGAAATTGAATCTATGTTGCTAAAGAAATTTGGAGAGGCGCTCATGAGGGGAGCCCTAACGTGGTATTCATTATTACCCGAGTATTCGATAGACTCCTTTGAGATGCTCGCGGATTCGTTCATCAAGGCTCATGCCGGTGCCAGAAAGGTACAAGCCCGAAAGGCCGATATATTCAGGATCGCGTAGGGAGAATTCGAATTATTACGAGAGTTCGTTACCCGATTACAGAAGGAAAGAATGTTAATACCGGATGTCCCGGATGAATGGGTGGCTGAAGCACTCACCAAAGGATTGAATCCGAGAAGTTCAGAAGCTTCCCGAAAGCTGAAGGAAAGTCTACTCGAGTTTCAAGCAACGACTTGTGCAGATGTCCACAACCGGTACGAGTCAAAGATAAGAATCGGGGATGATCAAGTTGGCTTTCCATCATTGACCAAAGGACGGGAGAAGAATAAAGAAAAATCAAAAGATGACTACCACGCGGACAGACGGACTTTGAGGGGCCGGTTTTTGCCATACGAACGAATCGAAGGTCGTGGAAGAAGCTTCCGGACATCAGAAAAGTTCACCGTTGACAGAAGGAAGTATAACTTCAATGTCAGTGTAGTGGAGTTGGTATCAACCATGAGAAACATCGAAGAGGCACGATTCCTGAGACCTATAAGATCTGATTCCAGCTAGAGGGATCCCAACTTATGGTGTGAATACCATGGGACAAACGGCCACCGAACAAGGGACTGCTGACACCTCCGGGAAGAAGTGGCAACACTGTTGAAGAATGGTCACCTTAGAGAATTCTTGAGTGACCGAGCTAAGGACAATTATGGTCGGAATAGAGACAACGCGGAACCCTCGAAAACAGGAGAAGAACCCCCACGCCAAACAACAATATGATCATCGGAGGGAATGGGATTAATAGGGTCACCTTTTCAGCAGCAAAGAAGAGGAAAGTATCAATAACTCATAGTAAAAGGCTCTGGGAAGACGATATCACTTTTACGGCAGAAGATGCAGATGGATTGTTGCTACCACGCAACGATGCACTGGTAATCTCTTTAAATGTATTTGATTTTAAGATTAAACGTGTTCTAGTAGATCCAGGAAGTTCAGCTAATATCATACAATGGAGAGTACTGGAGCAAGCTAAACTCACCGGAAGCATTATTCCGGCTACAAAGCTGCTCGTTGGATTTAACCTCGCGAGCATGACTAATCGGGGAGAGATTTTGCTGCTCACAAACGCTGAAGGAGTAATGAAAACAACCCTCTTCGAAGTTGTAAACGGAGACATGGGATACAATATCATCCTGGGAAGGCCATGGTTACATGAGATAAAAGCTGTGCGTTCGATGTATCACCAATTGTTGAAACTTCTGACACCCGAGGGGATCAAGCATATAAGGGGTGATCAACCGGCAGCAAGGGAGATGAATGCAATTTCGGTCTCCAGTAGCAAAGGAAAGGAGCGCATGGCATAGCAATTACAGGAACCGGCACCTACCTCCGAACCAGAGGAAGTTAGCCCGGGGACAGAGGAATTGGAACAGTATCAGGTGCCAAGGTATTTCCAAGTTCTAGAAGAGACGGGCGCAATGAAGTCCACGGCGGAAGAACTAGAGCAAGTTGTGTTGTTCGATGAATTCCTAGTAAGGAAATTCCATTTGGGAACTGGACTGCACCCGGAGCTCAAGTCTGATTTTATTGAATTTCTTAAAATTAATGCTGATTGTTTTGCATGGTCACACGAGGATATGACATGTATCCCAACGGAGGTAGCCATGCACAAGTTAAGCTTAGATCCCAATATACTTCCGGTAAGACAAAAGAAGCGCCCTATTACTGAAGCCAGGAATAAATTCGTCAAATAAGAGGTAACCCGCTTACTCAATATCAGTTCAATCCGAGAGGTAAGATATCCGGACTAGCTAGCTAATGTAGTAGTAGTTCCTAAGAAAAATAATAAATTTTGCATGTGTGTAGACTATAATGAT